ACAACCATCCTTTCTAAATGCTCTGGGAGCTCCCGACTCTCGCGTGGACTGGGAGTGGGGGAGGGGTGGTGGTGGCGGCAGGATTGGCCTTTCGGTCCAGTTGGGGGGGGGTTCGCTCTCCTTTGTGACGCCGGGTCAGGAGGGCCACACGGGGACCCACTGGAGCCCTTCAGCTGCGGAAGGTCCCCCAGTCAACCCGCAGCTTCCCCATTTGACCCGAGGCCCCCGGCAGCTCGTGCTGGGAAAGACCCTCCTGGGCCTGAGGCCCCTCCTTGTGGTGTCCAAAGATCCATCCCTGGGAAGGACGTGAGGGTCCGGAGAGGAGTGGCGCCTCACCTGGTAGAAGTCCTCCTGACCGAGCATCTGCTTGGCATTCTCCCAGCCAGGCTCCTGCTCAAACATCTTGCAGAGGGTGTCCGTCACCCAGACCACCTGCTCCGGGGGCTGGCGGTAGCTACGCAACTCCTCGATGTCCTGGGCCCGCAGGCCTGCCAAGGCCTCTCTGTAGTCCTTGTTCATCTGGGAAGAGAGGACTCGGCCGCCGGTGAGAAGGCCTCCCACCCAATCAGAGGGGAGGAGTGTCGTCCCCCCCCCCGTCCCGCCCGCCCGCCAGCCTGCCTGTCCTTTGCCTTCTCCAGCTCATCGCGCTCCTTGGTGAGGGCATCGATGCGCGCCTCGTACAGCTGGCACTCCTTCTCCTGCTGCTTCAGCACCCGCTGCTGCCGCTCCACTTCCTGCTGGCTCTCCACCAGCTCCTGCCGTGCGGGAAGGAGGCAGGACACCGTGGCCAGGCGCGCAACCGGCCACGCTCCCTCCCTCCAAGGGGCACCAGAGGGAAGCCAAGGGTGAGGTACCGGGAGGGGAAGGAAAACGGGCTGCTCCGCGGTAACTGCTGCTCTTTTTAGGGGTCACCCGCACAGCCCTGCTGACAGGCTTTGCGAGGACGCAGGACGTTCCACGCAAAACACCTCCTCCCCTCAACGACCCTGTCACTTTGGACTGTGCATGCTCAAAACACCTTCATGCCCCACCCCTTCCAGAATGTAGGTTTGCAGTGCGGCGAGGAGCACCCCCTTGGCAGGCAGCTTCAGCCTCTGGCATCTCCCACTCAAAGGGCCAGGGGACGGGGACGACCACGACCACTCGGAGTGGACAGGACTCCCGACCCTGACAGGGGACACCCCTGACTCGGCACAGGGCCCCTTCCCATGCCCATCGTCTCAGAGGGCGGCCGTGCCGGTCTGCAGCCCAGGAACACCTCAGAGAGACCAGCAAGACTTCTGGGGAAGGAGCTTCCGAGAGATCCACCGCTCCCTTCTTCGTCCAGCACGCCAGAGCTCCCGACTTCCCAGTAGCACCTGAGGGAGGGACCTGAGGCTCTCTCTCTCACTCTCTCTCAAGTGCATTCCCAGAAAGTCTCGCTGGTCTCTCAGAGGTGGTAGCAGACTCGAATCCAGCTGTTCAGGTGTTCAAGTCAAAGGCCCCTGTTCTGGGGAAGGTGGGTGGGCGGGCTGAGTGAATGCACAGATGATGACGATGATGATGATGATGACGATGACCACTGGAAAGACAGCAACACCCTACTTCTACCCTACCTTGGGCAAGCCGCAGCTCTGACAAGAGCTGTCCTTGAAAAAGAGCAGTATCTGTCAAGAGCTCTCTCAGCCCCACCCACCTCACAGGGTGTCTGTCTGTTGTGGGGAGGGGAAGGGAAAGGAGTTTGTGAGCCGCCCTGAGACTTCTTCGGGTAGTGAAGGGCCATATGGGGGGCATGAATCCAACCTCTTCTTCTTCTTCTTCTCTGCAGCATGGATGGTGAGGAGAGTGATGCTGGCTGTCATGTGTTTCTTTCACAGTGTACATCACCAGATGTGCCAAGTGGCTGAAAGATCCAGAGGAGTTGGCCATGTTAGTCTGTTGCTGCAAAATAGTAAAAAGCCCAGCAGCGCCTTTGAGACTAACAGACTTTATTGTAGCATAAGCTTGCGAGAAACACAGCTCTCTTCGTCAGATGCATGGAGGGTGGTTGATAAGGAACTTCTGATAGGACTATCAGGGCTGGCTGGCGGAATCCATGCTGCAGTGGGCACTTCAACCCCAGAAGGAAGCATCCACCATCACAGCCAAGTGTGGTGTCCAAATTACTCCCTCACAGGAAGAACAACTGTAACAGGAGGAACTTGTCTGGAAAGTCCAGCATCAGTTGGAAGTACTGAAAAAATGTGACCTGTAGAAGTCTCATGTCTAGTCTGGCACAGTGGACCACGGGCTCTTTGGATCTCAATGACCTGTTGCTGGGGAGTGGTCGATGGAAGTCGAAGCTGTCCCTATGAGAAAAGTCCATCCAGGGGGAGGTGGGAAACCCTGCCGGTGGGGAAGTCCAGTGGTGTACCTGTGGCCTGTAGATGGAAGGACTGGTCTCTCGGTATTGCTGCAATCACTGCCGTGCACTTGGTGAAAACTCTCTGAGTGGCAAAGAAGCCAAAGGGCAGCGCCTTGTACTGGTAGCAGGCACCTCCCACAGCGCAGGTAGCATCAGGAGAGAGATGGACACACAATCCCAAAGACAGGCAGGGTCTTCCTCTGGTGGCGACTCTTGGTTAGAGAATTTTAGAGCTATGGACACTCAGTCCATGTTGCTGCTGGTTTTCCGGTAAGCAGAATGTCTTCAGTGGGTGAAAATGCCTGGAGGCCCTGCCAGACCAACCCCGTTCCCATCTTTGATCGAGTGACGAGCTGACTGGATCGGGGGAATGCGGTTGATGTTGTTTACCTGGATTTCAGTAAAGCTTCTGACAGGGTTCCCCAGGATGGTCTGATGGGTAAACGAGAGGACTGTGGACTGGACTGTAGGCTAGTTAGGTGGACGGGGAACGGGTTGGAGAGCCGCACGCAGAGAGTAGCTGTCAGTGGCATTTCATCTGACTGGAGGCAGGTGTCCAGTGGGGTGCACCAATGCTCGGTTCTGGGCCCAGTACTTTTCAATATTTTTATAAATGGAGGGGCTACTCATTAATTTTGCAGATGACACTACATTAGGGGTGACCAGAACTGCACACAGTACTCCAAATGAGGTCGCACCATTGATTTATACAGGGGCATTATGATACTGGCTGATTTGTTCTCAATACCCTTCCTAATAATCCCCAGCATAGCACTGGCCTTCTTTATTGCAGTCGCATACTGTCTCGACATTTTCAGTGAGTTATCTACTAGAACTCCAAGATCACCGGAAGTGACGGGCGACGTGCTGACGTTGGGGGCGTGGCTGAGCTCGTCGGAGGGGAAAACCATATGGTTTTCCCCCCGAAGTCTGTCACTACTTCCACAGCTTCCCCTTCTATTTGCCAAGGAGTGATGGGGCCGGATGCCATGATCTTAGTTTTTTTGATGTTGAGCTTCAAGCCCACTTTTGCGCTCTCCTCTTTTACTCTGAGCAAGAGGCTCTTTAGGTCCTCTTCACTTTCTGCCATTAGAGTGGTATCGTCTGCATATCTGAGGTTGTTGATCTTTTCCCCAGCAATCTTAATTCCCGCTTGTGATTCATCCAGGCCAGCATTTCGCATGATGTACTCTGCATATATATTAAATAAGCAAGGTGACAGTATACATCCTTGTCGTACTCCTTTTCCTATGCTGAACCAATCAGTTGTTCCGTATCCGGTTCTAACTGTCGCTTCTTGGCCCTTATACAGGTTTCTCAAGAGACATGTGAGGTGGTCTGGTACTCCCATCTCTTTAAGGACCTGCCATAGTTTGTTGTGATCCACACAGTCAAAAGCTTTAGCATAGTCAATGAAGCAGAAGTAGATATTTTTCTGGTACTCTCTTGCTTTCTCCATAATCCAGCGAATGTTGGCAATATGATCTCTCGTTCCTCTACCTCTTCGAAACCCAGCTTGTACTTCTGGTAGTTCTCTATCCACGTACTGTTGAAGCCTAGCTTGTAGGATCTTGAGCATGACCTTGCTAGCGTGTGATATGAGTGCAATTGTGCGATAGTTTGAACATTCCTTGGCATTGCCCTTCTTTGGGATTGGAATGTATACTGATCTTTTCCAATCCTGTGGCCACTGTTGCGTTTTCCAAATTTGCTGGCAAATGGAGTGCAGCACTTTAACAGCATCATCTTTTAAGACTTTGAATAGCTCAGCTGGAATACCATCACCTCCACTAGCTTTGTTGTTAGCAATGCTTTCTAAGGCCCATTTAACTTCACATTCCAGGATGTCTGGCTCGAGGTCAGTGATTATACCGTCGTGGTTGTCAAGGACATCGAGGTCTTTCTTGTATAGTTCTTCTGTGTATTCTTGCCATCTTTTCCTAATCTCTTCTGCTTCTGTTAGGTCCCTACCGTTTTTGTCCTTTATCATGGCCAGCTTTGCATGGAACGCTCCCTTGATTTCTCCAATTTTCTTGAAGAGATCTCTAGTCCTTCCCATTCTATTGTTTTCTTCTATTACTTTGCACTGTTCTTTCAGGAAGGCCTCCTTATCTCTCCTTGCTGTTCTCTGGAAATCTGCATTCAGTTGGGTAAATCTTTCCTTTTCGCCTTTGCCTTTCGCTTTCCTTCTTTCCTCTGCTATTTGTAAAGCCTCATCAGAAAGCCACTTTGCTCTCTTGCATTTCTTTTTCTTTGGGATGGTGGTGATTGCTGCCTCCTGTACAATGTCACAAACCTCCGTCCATAGTTCTTCAGGCACTCTATCTACCAAATCCAGACCCTTGAATCTATTCTTCACCTCTACTGTATATTCATCAGGGATGCGATCTAGGTCAAACCTGAATGGCCTAGTGGTTTTCCCAATTTTCTTCAGTTTAAGTCTAAATTTTGCAATGAGTAGCTCATGATCTGAACCACAGTCAGCTCCAGGTCTTGTTTTTACTGACTGGATAGAGCTTCTCCATCTTTGACTGCAAATTATATAGTCAATCTGATTTCGGTCTTGCCCATCTGGTGATGTCCATGTGTAGAGTCGCCTCTTAGGTTGTTGGAAAAGGGTGTTCGCTATGACCAGTGTGTTCTCTTGACAAAACTCTGTTAACCTTTGCCCTGCTTCATTTTGCTTTCCAAGGCCAAACTTGTCTGTTGTTCCTTAGCATTTTTGTTTCATTTTTGTTACCCAGATGTTGAACTTGGCACTTATCCGCCCACTTTCCCAGCATGTTCAGATCCTGTTGAATTCTATCTCTATCTTCTGCCATGTTTGCTGCTCCTCCCAATTAGGTGTCATCCAGATCATTTATGGGCCCAGAACCGAGCCCCGCAGCACCCCACCGGGCACCTCCCTCCAGTCAAATGAAATGCCACTGACAGCTACTCTCTGAGTGCGGTCCTCCAACCACTTCCCCGTCCACCTATCCTAGAGTCCAGTCCTTTAGAACATCATAGGGAACGCTGTCAAAAAGGTTTCTGCCACAACTCTCGTGTGATACCTTCCAGGCCTTCTAGCACCGGGAAGCAATCGTTCCAGGAGAGCTGGAATAAAGATGGCTCATGGTTTTGTCCCTGCGCTTAAGCTCGAACACAGCAACTTTAATTTCAAGGCCATTCGAATAATTTGTTCCCCAAACACACGGAGATCCTCTATGGGGGACGCTGGAGATGGCTCACCCACCCTCTCATCTGGACTTGGTTCTGAAGTAGTGTCAGATCCATCAGATTTCAGTGCTGCTTCATCTTCTCCTCTTATCGGAAGACTGGGGGATTGTGGCCTATGTGAAATAGAAGCAGGAGGTGGATATGATGGGGCCCGCTGGGAGTAATGATATGCCTTCACATCTCTGGGGCCCACAAAATTGTCACCCCACTTATTTAAACACCCTGGTGACATCATATAGGGGTGTGAAGGCCATCGCAGGGGTGGATGGGGCTGAGCCCATGGAACCGTAGCCATCTATTCCGGATTGGATGCAGGTGGGACCTGGCCCCGTGGCAGGCCAGTCTCTCCTTCGCCGTCTGATATGGAAAGTGGAGGTGATCTCGGACCTTGAGATGGAGTCCGGGGCTTTTCTTTTCTAACACCGGAAACGGTTCCAGCACGGAAAGGGGCGAGGTGGGTTGTACAGCCACATGAAGCGTCTCCTTAGCCTTCTTGGCCAGAGGTTCCGACGAACGATGGCCCCGAGGGGAGCGTGAACGTGATCGGACCGACTGAGATATGGAGCCAGGCAGCGGAGCCGAGCATGTCCGTTCCAAAGGCACAGATTTTAGTGGGGTTTATTGAGCCTACTTTGTTGGAGGCTCAGAGTCTTTGAGGGCCTTTTCCCACAGGGCCACCTTCAGTCCTGATGCCCTGTCTCGCCGGGCTTCTGTGGTGAAGTGCTGACAGGCCCTACAAGTGGCCATAGTATGCACCTCTCCCAGACAGAACAGACAAAGCTCGTGTTTGCTCCACAACGGGAGCACTTCTTAAGCTATAATAATGAGCTATAATAATGACTCGGAAGCCTGAAAAGCGTCACGGTGTTAAGCGAAAATCCCGGCAAACAGCTGGAGACTCAGATGCACGACCTACCTCTTCAGCAGCAAGAAAAGGAACTGATGGTCGAGGGGGCGCTGCTGCACATGGTCCTTGGGGTGGGAACAAGTTTCTGGCACACAGCGCCCCCTGGAGGCGCTTAGCGGTAAAGGCGTATCCAATGGCAGGCCTGCTCATGCGCTGCAGTCCCCATGTGAGACTGCACAGAAGAGCGATGATGAACTATCAGTGGTCAAGAACTGTGGTGGACACCATCTCCAGACAAGGGTAGGATCCTGGGTAGTCCCGCATGATGGGCCAAAAGCAGTGATGACCCCTGAGCCGGGTCCTGTAACGACAGCCTCTCATCCAAGAACCAGAAGAGGAGGAGTGTTTCATCCAGGAGTCTGAAGCAGGCCAGAACCCACCACCCCAAAGCCCCTCCTCCTTCTCCTCTCCTGTCCCAAGAGTGTCTCAGTTGAGAGCTGGAGGGAAACTGGGATCTGTGGTCCCAACCCTGGGACCTGTCAGTCATGAATTGGGTTGGGTTTGAGAGCACGACCATGCACAGCAGGACGGAGACGAGAGGATCCACGGTGCATGGAGCATGGTCAGAGTGCTCCTTCCTCTCAGAGAACTCCTGTCCCTGGGGCTGAGGGCCAGGGTGGCAGAACAGGAGAGCCTGGCCCTTTATGGACGGGCAGAGCCTGGATCTGGAGGGGCTGCGGCTCAGTGGCAGAGCAGAAGGTCCCAGGTTCGGTTCCTGGTACCTACAGTTAAGAGAACTAGGCAGGAGGTGATGTGGAAGACCTCTGCCTCTGGCCCCGGCTGCCAGTCTGAGCGGGATTCTTTTTTTTCAGCAGGAGGCAGCTCCACGTGTTCTGCAGCTGTGGGAAACGAGGAGGGTCCCAAGGACTGGTTCCAATGACTGTGAGAAAATGGGTGGCGGTTGGCTTGGTGGCACCGCTACAGGTCGTGTGGGCACAGAAGCTGAAGCAGCCTCCTTCCTGGTGGAGGACGGAGGGAGGGAGGGCGGGAGGGAGGGAGGGTGGCCCAGAGCTCTCTTTTGGGGGGGAACAAAATTCCTTTTACAATGTTTAAAAGTTCATGAGTTTTTCCGTATACAGATTGAAAACCTCGTTCCCCTCTTGATAGTTCCAGAAAAAGAGTTGGCCAGTGGTGTTTTTTCTGCAGGGTTTTTTGACGGTGGCCACGATCGGTCTCATTTGTTCACTCCGTTTGATTCATCTTCTTCAGAGAGACCCTTTCTTAGACTGCTGAGGGAAGGGAGCTGCCGTAGGTGGGAGACGGAGAAGCGGGCAGGGTGGGCCTGTCGGTGGGCGAAGGGGCAGGAGAGCCACCGTCTCCGGAGCCCCAGCGGCAGATGTGAAGCCCAGAGTGACGGCAGGCGGGTGTGATGCCTCTTGGGCCATGCCTGTGACATCCCACCTGATGAGGTTCTCTCAGACACGGAAGACAGCCGGTCGCAGCAGCCTCCACACCAAAGTGCAGGGGGGGTTGGACTAGATGACCTGCAAGGTCCCTTCCAACTCTAGCAGTCTATGGTTCTCTAACAATGCCTGTATCTGGTCTTGAGCGCTTCAGAAGGGGCGGTGGGGAGTGGTTTACTCTGGTTTTATATAACAGTAAAGGTAAAGGTTTCCCCCTTGCTCAAAAGCCAGTCAAATCCGACTCTAGGGATGCGGTGTTCATCACCGTTTCCAAGCTGAAGAGCCAGCGCTGTCCGAAGATGTTTCCGCAGTCATGTGGCCGGCATGACTAGACGCCGAGGCGCACGGAATGCTGTCACCTTCCCACCGAAGTGGTACCCATTTATCTACTTGCAATTTCTTGCTTTCGAACTCCTCGGTTGGCAGGAGCTGGGGCCAGAGACGGAAGCACACTCCGTCATGCAGCGCTTGGGTCTCGAACTACTGACCTTCCAGTCTGCAGTACAGCGCCTTAACCACTTGAGCCACCGGTTATAATACACTAGCAACCCCACCCCCCTAAGTTTAAGACTATGAGGACGACTATTTTGGTTTTTGTGGAGGAGGAAAAACTAGCTTGGGGGAGGGGGTCTTTGCAGGAGAGGTCCCCAGTTGCTGTCACCTACGCGGCCCGACGAAGGCGCGACCCTCTCCTCCCTTCAGGGGCTCATGCAAGCCAAAGCGGGGTGGTGGTGGTGGTGGCATGGGCTGAGGAGGGGAGGTTTTCAGGCTTCCGTCTTGGTGGTGCCGTGCAGGCACAAAGCCCCACTGGGGTGACGCAGAGCCCGCGAGGAAACAACCAGAGTTGGCAAAGCAGAGGCCCTTTCGTGCGACAGAAGGGAGACCCGGGGGGGAGGGACATCCGGCAGGCCCCGGGAAAGAGCCTTCTCCCCACCGAGGAGCCACACCTGGCTGGACCCCCACGTCCTTGCCCGGCTGAAGCAGGAGGAAGCCCACCACTTGCCAGAGGGACCCGAACTCTTTGCTACACAAGGAAGCGCCTCGCAAGGAAGACCAGACGCACTTATTCCCCGTGGGAAGAGGGGCAGGCGCTGCAGGGCGAGGGCCACTGCCCCCCCT